TGGAAAAGGGGGCGGGGAGTAGCAGCTCATTTGCATTTAAAGAGAGAGGCCCGAAAACAGCCGTTTCTTCTTCCACTCAAAATAGGCATTTTCAAAATGATATAATAAATTATCTTTGGAGTACTTTTAGCTGAAACTTCACAGATACATTCTGGGGAACCGGAGACTTATATTACATATTGTGAAAAGGGGCATAATATGTCTCCTTTAAACTAATCCTATACCAACTACTGCACGACAGTTTTTCGTTCACTGAAGCCTTTCCCTCGAGCCCGCTTTACTGATATTTTTCTCGGCATTTGACTATACTGACTATAGTGTGAGGGAATTACAGGCAAGGCTAGGCAAGTTTATTTCTATAGCACATTTCACACACAATGGTACTTCAAAGTGCTTTACATAAAATGAATTAAAATAATTATAAAAAATAATCACAGCAATAAAAAAACAAGGAATTTAATAAAAAAATGATTTAAACTGAATTAAAACAGTCAAGAATAAAAAGTGATTATACATAAAAGACAGTACAATCAGTTCAGACGTAGCACAGTGCTCATTCAGTAAATGAGACTGACTATAGTGTGAGGGAATTACAGGCAAGGCTAGGCAAGTTTATTTCTATAGCACATTTCACACACAATGGTACTTCAAAGTGCTTTACATAAAATGAATTAAAATAATTATAAAAAATAATCACAACAATAAAAAAACAATGAATTTAATAAAAAATGATTTAAACTGAATTAAAACAGTCAAGAATAAAAAGTGATTATACATAAAAGACAGTACAATCAGTTCAGACGTAGCACAGTGCTCATTCAGTAAATGAGCAGATGAGTTTTGAGTCTAGATTTGAATGTGACTAATGTTTTAGCACATCTGATCTCTTCTGGAAGCTGATTCCAACTGCGAGTGGCATAATAACTAACAGTGGACTGCCCTTGTTTTGTGTGAACCCTCTGTATTTCTAACTGACTCGATCCTAATGATCTGAGTGCTCTGTTAGGTTTATATTCAGTGAGCATATCTGCTATGTATAGTGCTTTTAAGAGAGTCTCTAACACACATAATAATACTTGTTTGGTGAAGAATAACTTTTATGAATTAATTTGTTTCATGATGCAAAGACTCGAAACCAAAGAAGCCCTGTAATTCTCATGTGTCTCAAAGCTGCCACAGGAGCGATCTGAAATCTGTTCAATCTGATGTAATCATTTTGGTGAAAGATTTCAAAAGAGTCATTTGAGTTTGGGATGAATAAAAATTCTCACTACAAGAACTGTTGTTTATCATGTATATAGAGTTTGAATATCAGCCCAACTGATAGTGCACATGAGTAAGTTACTGGCAGTAGAGGATGAGCTATTACCTTGATTCACAATGAACTGCAAAGCCCTTATTGAGCACACTGAATTTACAGAATGAATGTTATGGGATTCTTGGCACGAATGCATGGTTTATCTTAAACTTTATTGACTGTCAGACTGAAGAGTTTCTGGTGTCATGAAGTAGCATGAAGAATAATAAAGAGAGAGAGAGAGAGAGAGCTGACTCTGGCACTTCTCGTGGTCTTACTGACTGAGGACTCAATTACTGCTCTTTCTTGACAAGTACACTCAGAGCCCTGAGCTCCGCTGAAGGATTTCCCCTTATCTAAAGTAAAAGCATATCTCACAGTTAATATCGTAATGCCCGCACACTAAAACCGCAATATAGTTTTGTAAAATCTAAATGAAGTATGCATGAATGTGCATGTATGTGTCTACACAGGAAAGATTTACCGCATATGTTTGTTATAATTGTTTGCCTGGACCTTCCTGAGAGAAAGC